GTGCGGCTGTGATGTTGGACAGTTACACTAAGAAAGCGGTCCTCCATATCCTGGACTTTGGCCTTCACCTGGTCCATCAGCGCCTCTAGGTCTGTGACCCGCTGAGAGTGGTGAGCAGCTCGACTCATGTGTTTCTGAACGTCCTCTCTAAAAAACAAAACAAAACAAAAAACAAAACAACTGAGAAATAATTCTTTAAAGTCACATAAATTATTTCTGGACCTGGATCTAAAGTCACATAAATTATTTCTGGACCTGTTGTTGCAGGCAGGTTTACAACCTCTTTAGATTGAGGTTTCAGTTTGATGACACTGTTATACAGCCTTTACCAACTAAAGGTTATTCTGGACTCAAATTAATAAAATAAAAATCAAATTTTTGTCTATCATTGTTTGATGTAATCTATATTTCAAGGCTGTGTGCTCGGACCTAAGCACTTGCTCCTCCAATTTAGAGTGGGATAAAGCACATGTGTGAAGCCTAACTGATGCTGCTGAGATAAAATTACGAGACAGGTGGTCAACACCCCAAATGCTAATAAATGATTCAGCAGATGAGGACATGTAACGTCTGCCTCATCTCTTTAGAGGAGTTCATACACTAACAAACTCACTTACTTGAGTTGGTTGTTGGACTTCACAAGCTGCTGGATGAGAGCCTGCCTCCTCTCTGAGTCTTTGAGCATGGTGCTCAGAGTGGCCCTGATCTCACTCGCTGACTTTTTGTCCAGCAGAACCAAATCTGTGGACAGAAAGGAAAAATTACAAACACTAGACTGAAAAAAATGCATGTTGAAAAACAGGCTGGAGTTAAGAGGATGTTTAAAGAACTATCATCCATTTATAAAAAGCAGCAGATTCTTTTGGAGCTATTAGATAGTCAGTCTAAATATGGAGCGATAATGGCTGAAAAATAATGATACCATGAATAAATTGTATGCTCCAGAGTCTGTTAAACTTGTCACTCTAAGGATACATTTGCATTACATTGGTCATCAGCAACTTCTTGGTTTCTTTACACCATAAATGCTGATTTTGTCTAATCATATATAGACTAGATCCATTCCATAAAGACTGTCCAATGGTGATTTAAACTTAGAAAGGAACATTTTATTCAAATGTGACTAAATGATTTTTAATTAATTAAATGAATTAAAAGTGAGTGAAGGTTTACCTGAAAGGTTTTTATTCTCCACTGGATCAGCAAAGGACACAGGCTTAAAACCATGATGCTGGAGAAGT